AACTTATAGCTGGTGAATTGTCATCTTTGGTTAATCGGTAAAATGAGTTGTCGTAGCATGTATGCTATCAGTAAATAGATATCTCGATTTTGTCATTAATATGATTCCTGTATTTGCTAACTTCGTAAATGTGGTCACTTACTTTTAGTTATACCATATAGGCCAATAATATTAGAATGGTTGCTATTGTTATTTAAGATTTTTAGCTAAATTTTATGTAAAAGAAGAAAAATTTCATTATTTAACTGCTATTAATGAGTGTTTTAAATTTATTAAATAATACCTCTTGAGTAAACTTATAGTCATTATCAGTTTTTAGAATTTTCAGCGCAACCGTGAGATCACAATCCTCCCATCGAGACTTAAATATTTTCCCAAATCCACCTTAATCTTCCTCAGTAATTTGGGTAAATTCGCTATAATCAAAAAAGAAATAAGATATGTAAGGGCTTGCTCAATTAACATATTCTAACTAAAATTTAACAATGTTCTTAACGTGTATGTATATGTTTAGATACACGCACGTGTACATATGAAACAAGATGACCAAAAAAAGAAAAAAAAAAAGAATAAAGCCAAAATTTTCTTTTAAGGTTTGATTATGTGTGATAAACTTACCTGCATGAAAGAGACAGGTGCAAGCAAAATAATAATAGTGTTTTCATACTTTATTAATGTAAGGATTTGTCTATCATTAAGCAATTTGAATTATTTTTTTAAGGGAATTGCTATTCGAATCCCCAAAATTTGCTATTTACACCCCATACAAATTAAAGTTTTTTTGAACTTTGAGCGAGGATATCTCGACAGCCACAAAGTTAAATTCGATAAACTTTTTTTATTTGAATTCTATGCATTAGTAGAATTCAAATAAAAAAAGTTCATTGAAATTTGACTGGGGTTGCCGAGATATCGTCGCTCAAAGTCTTAAAAAACTCAAACCGTCTATCAAAACTCTTAACTTTTTTATTTTTTGAGTGAAGATATCTCGACACTCACCAAGCCAAATTCAATGAATTTTTTTTTTATCTGAATTCTAAAAATCCGCAGAATTCAAATAAAAAAAAAAGTTTTATTGAATTTGACTTGGTGATTGTAAAATTTTCTTCGTTCGAATTTTTAAAAAACTCAACTCCTATAAATAAAAGTTGCGCCAAATTTTGTTATTTTTGAGCGAAGATATCTCATAACTGTCAAGCCAAATTTGACGAACTTTTTTTTTTTTGAATTCTACGAATCTGCAGGATTTAAATCAAAAAAGTTCATCGAACTTGTCCCAGTGGTTGTTAAGATGCCTTCATTCAAACATTTAGGAAACCTTTGGACAGCTTTTACTTATATAGGCGTTGAGTTTTTTAAAAATTCGGACGAAGATATCTTGACAATGACCACGCCAAATTCAATAAACTTTTTTTATTTGAATTCTATTTAGATAAAAAAAGTTCATTGAATTTGGCTGGGTGAGTGTCGAGATATCTTCGTTCAAAGAATAAAAAATTGAGTTTTGATAGGCGTTTTGAGTTTTTTAAGACTTTGAGCGAAGATATCTCGGCAACCACCAGGCAAATTTCAATGAACTTTTTTATTTGAATTCTACTAATGCGTAGAATTCAAATAAAAAAAAGTTTATCGAATTTGACTTGGCGGCTGTCGAGATATCTTCACTCAAAGTTCAAAAAACTTTAATTTGTATGGGGGTGTGAATAGCAAATTTGGGAGTACGAATAGCAATTCCCTTTTTTAGTACTAAGTCAACTATAATGAATATTTTCGATTTTCTAATATACCGTACATATTGTTTTTTTTTTGTGAACATAAAATCGTAGCTTGAAAACACCGTATTCTCATGAGAAAGTTTTTGGATCTGAGATTTCGAACACTGGGTGCAAGTCCGTCAAACATATTAAGGATCAAGCCGAACAAAATAATATTTTATTTTCATATAAAAATTTAAATAATATTTTTTTATAAACTATATAATGCACGTGTGTCCAATCACGTTTTGATGCATCTATTATACGTTATTTCTTAATTTATGACAATTAGGGACCGGAAAAAAAAGCCGCGCGCACGATTTTGAATTTTACAATCGGTGTATAAGCCGATTGCAATTAATATGATAAACTGCTTTCGGCAGATGGGCTCCATTTGTACCTCACACGTTCTGCTACCAGTAACATATCTTTAAAAGACAGTTTGACTTTAATGATCAACCACTGACAGTAGGCACATGTGAGATACAAACGTAGCCCATTGTTGGTGGCAAAACCAACGAAATTCGCTGCGCTGAATTCGACGTCACGGGACCCGAAAACGTGACGAAGCCCCGATTCGAAGCCCCGATTCGAAGCCCCCGAAAAGAATTCGCGAAGAAATGGTTCTCACGAAGCCCCAAGACCTTATGTTTGGGGCAGTGCCAAAGCTTAGC